TGGCTCTTAAGATCTTTTGTATATATTCGTTAAGAATATTTTCTACCACGCAGACAACAGAAGCTTCCAATCGAAGGATTAGTTTTTGCATCCACAAAGGATCAATTTAATGTGACTATTGCTAGAAATTTTAAGTCCACTACCCGCTATTTGCATTTGGTTTTTTAAAATGGAGTCAAATAAAAAATAGGTAAAACCCAATAAAACTACGTGATTTTAGATTTTATCTCAGTTTTATATTATGTAATATGAATAGGTATAAGATTTGGAATTAAAGATGGGTTAGTTGATGGGAGTGTTCAAAAAATTATTATAATGAGTTAGGTCAGTTTTCCTATTTAGAAAACTTTGTCCCTATAAATAATAGAGTTATTAGAGAGTGGCATGATTTATTGGTTGTCTCGATATAAAAGTTGAATATTATTCTTAAAAATCCTTTAAAATTCTTAGATAATATATTAATTATAGAGATTCAGATATGTAATTTATTGATTTTGTATATTACATATATTACTAATTTAGATGATTTGATGTTTTAGAATCTAGTTTGTGAGACTAATTATTTAAGTAAATTCCAACATATGGTATCAGAGTCACAAATTAGATCTAAGACCCAAATATTAAAGAATGATTTTGGTTATGTTTTTTCCATTGCGATTATGTAAACATATTGATAAACAAATATCGGTTAACGGTACTGTGATTATGTGAGTTGAGTTTTGTTGCGATTGATTTAATCAGTTCTTGTTCCCTTTGATGTTTGACTTGCTGCTGTTAATATTTGGTCCTACTAGGAATCAAGTTATTCCATTAAGTCTATGTTTTAAAACTGCATCATGTTTATGAAGTATCAAAAATTCATTCAAGCCTTAGTATCCAAGTTGGTGAAGTATATAATCTTGGTGATCGTTCTGTCTTGGGCAATTTAAGCTTTCACTTACCACCATGTGTATTGGATATGTAGCTTACATAGCTTGCCATAAGATTACTCCTTAGATTGAGGTTTTCCTCTTAATCACATAAAATTTTAAGTGGTTCAATAACAAAAGCATTCTTTAATTAGTTTAAAATTTTATTTGTATTATAATTAGTGT